AATCCTGAACATGTGCATCCCTAAGATGAATGATGTTTTTTTTTGCCCCAAACCAACCAGTGAAACAAACTGTGATTGTATGACATTTAAAAGAAATGCTTTCATTAGTGTTCAGCCTACAAAGCCATCACTAATTAAGCTAATCACTGATTCTGAGAAAAGCCCATATCATTATGAAAACACATACAGGCTTTATATTCAGTAGAATTTGTTTATGCGCCTCTACATCCACCCTCTACACCAATGTTGTGTTCAAACCACCCATACTCAATCATTGCAGTGCATCGGGCCAAACATTGTGTTCAATAACTGATTAATGCATCCATGGACTTGAAAGCACCGAGATCATGAAACTTTTCTGTCTCGACGTGCGCTTTATAAAATCTCTCCATCTCCAGTCAGCCGAACATTGTAAAAGTTCAAGAAAAAAAAAAGACTTGTGTTATTAAACCTGACAGTGACACCTCGATACCTCGATGTTATCTCATCTGGATAATCCTTTTCACAGCTCTAACTATTATTAGAGGGAGGTGCCTGTGCATTCATGTGTGCTACAGTCTGTGAACACAATATTTGAATCCTGTTGGAAGTGTTGGAAGTCCCTCTTGGGATTTTACATGAAATTGTGAGCTTTAGTGAAACCACATGTCACTTCTTGGAGCAAAGTCAGAGATGTGGGAGATCCCTGCAGCCGTCTCAGCTAAGAATAGAGACACATAATGACATTTTAATTTTGTGCTACTAACACACCCGCTGCTTCCCTTCCCCTCAGTTTAGCGTGAACTGCCAAACCCTCAAAACCACTGCTTTCACATTTAAACAGAGGGTGTCAAACAGGCAACACTGAGACTGGCATCGCTCTCTTGACACTGTGGTGACACGGGCCACCTTCAGGTTGTTTCTGATTCTCAAACATGACTCATGCGTTTAATTATGGTGGGGCAACAGTGGTTCATTTGCTTGTTTCTTGGGGTAACTTTCTAAAAAAGAGGCAGGCGTCAGCTTCAATTATTTTCTAAAGGGATTTGTTTTTGATATTTTGAAGTAATGGTTCACTTCACCCAAAGCCCTATAGCGATGCAGATAGTTTGCTTATATCTGCTGAAGTTTTGAGATATCAGGCTCCGAGCTCTCCGCCACCACCACTATAAAATAGGGGTGAAATTGAATCAAATGGGTTTTTCTTTTCAAAGCCTAGAACTGCACAAATAGTCTCATTCACCTCAGTCAGAAGAAGAAGTTTCAGGAGTGAATCTCTTGGTACATAACAGCAAAACTGTTGACAAGGTTCAAGGGAAGGCGTATTTTATCACATGTAAAATTCGGTAATCTATAAGACCTGGATCATTAATCAAAATGTTTATTTTAATCATGGATGACATGGCAACATTTAATGTGAGCAGGGTCAATCATTAGCTGTTTTCAGGAGGAACTCCAGAGATCTGGACCTTCTCCAGAGATTTCCTTTCACACAACGCAGCGGGGGGGGGGGGACTCTGCTTAGATGTGTTCACAACAGCAACAAATCCTCTGCAGGGTTCAGGTGAGTGCTGGGTTATGTAATGTATTCATTCTGCTGCAGAGATCAGATGAT